AGGGGGGCGGCGGGCCAACCATTCGCCTTGGCGACGACCTCCGAGCCGCCATGCACGGCGACGAACGCCGGCTTGGGGACGGGCGGCGGCGCCCGCGCGGCGGCGCCTGGAGGTGCAATCGGCGGAACGGACATCGCCCCCAGCCGACGGGGGCCCGAGGCTGCAGCTCGGGGGGCGGGCTTGCACCGGCGAGGCCGCAGCTCGCAGGGCGCCCAATTAAATGGCACATCGCGACGCGCATGACCACGACGCAACAGCGACGAAAACATGATAAACAAACGCATGCGCATCTCAAACCGCACCACCCGCTAACCCGCGATTGAAGCACCACCCGCGAACCCGATAACATCTTGATCGGGGGAGGCAACCTCAAAACGAAAAAAAACGAACCGCGCAGAACATCACGATCGCACCGCCGCACGCACAACCAATGAAAACACATGCGCCGATAAAGTTTCCCACCCGAAATACGATAACATTATGTAGCACATCATGGTCGTGATGCCGCGTGCAAAGCAAAACGTCACAATGCCACACAACGCGCTTAAAACACACGGAAGAAAACGCGCGAGAAAGTCAGAACTGCAACTCACCACGGTCTTAAGAACGCACTAACAAACATAGATAATCCATTTTAGATGGTTAACGCGCCATAATCGGAATACCACTTTGCAGCAAATGAGCGTCGCCATATCCCATGCAGAAAAAATGCAGCGCATTATCTCACTGATGCCGCATGCACAACAGATGGGAAACAATGCATGTAAGACATCATGGTCGAAACACAACATGCAAACCTACATGAGCAACAAAGCGGGTTCAACTTAGAGACCACTCCGATTTCACGAAACAACCGGTGCGGATCCACATCGCGATCGAACCAACGCACGTCAACCCACATAACAAAACATGCATCGAACCAATCGCACGCAACAGCCAAACAAAAACAATACATGCGGAACAACACGATTAGACATCCAATAGGAAAACACATGAGAACACCGCTTCTGTAGCATACCATGACCTGACAATCATACACAAAAACAATGCGTAAAAACAAGATCAGCTGATCTCATAAAAGGCTTAGGTAACCTATCTTAAAATATGCGAAAGGGTGAGCTAACTCATTGTAACTCATGTTAAGTGTTAGCTAGCTCATGTTAAAAATGCGTTAAACATGTTCAACTAAGTTAAACTGTGTTAAACATGTTAAATTCTGTTAAATGTTAGATCGTTCTTTTAACGCGTTAGCTAACGTTGGCTGAGCTGTCTTAAACTTTAACTTGAATTTGCTCAACGGTTTAACATGAGTTAACATGGCTTAGCTTGGTTAGCGCGCGTTAGGCGCATACTTACTAAACCAACCGTAACTCTTATTAACGATGTTAAGAATACCTAAAGTATCTTAGCGAGCCGTAAATCACCCTAAACTTTAGCTGGCTTTGCTAAGTACTTTTGCGCGCGCTATCGGAGGTGAGGGGGTGAGATCGAAGTGGAACGGAGAGCCCCCCTACCGGGAAATCGATTTCGGTTTTGTGTTCGTGCGTGCCGTGCGGGCGAGGCGAAGCTGCGTGGGCGGGCGAGAGGAATGTCTCTTGTGGCTGAGGCGCGGCCGGACCAAATGATTCTCCCCCGGGCGGCCGGCGGCGCGCGGTGTCCCGCCGGTGCCCCGCCGGTGTCCCGTCGGCGTCCCTGTGGCTGAGGCGCGGCCGGACCAAATGCGTCCCTTCTGGGCGGCCGGCCGCGCGCGGTGTCCCGCCGGTGTCCCGACGGTGTTCCGCGGTGTCCCGCGGTGTCCCGCGGTGCCCCGCGGTGCCCCGCCGGTGTCCCGCGGTGTCCCGCGATGATGATGATGATGATGATGATGATGAGGTGATGATGGTGATGATGATGATGGTAATGCTGATGATGATGATGATGCTGCTGCTGACGATGATGATGACGATGATGATGATGATGGCGATGCTGATGATGATGATGATGAGGAGGACGATGATGATGATGATGATACGATGATGATGGTGTCCCGATGATGATCATGATGTCGATGATGACGATGACGAT